TATACTCATAAATGGAAATTCTGGTACAAGATTGATTGATTGTTGGTTGCTTAACGTCCAGTGGCAAATATTTCATGCATATTCAGGACGAGAACAAATTAACAATAAATACAATAGGTAGGTTCTGTAATAGGGGCGTCCGGGGTTAAGGTCGGAGAAATTTAGACTACCACGGGGAATGAGGGTATATTGGATAGGGGCAGAAATTTAGCCTTGCAACAGGTCACCTACGGACCCCTCAAAAAGTTGTTGCAAGGGTTCTTAACGTGCAAAGAGCGTGGCATTCTCTTTACACGAGGCATCGGATTTAACGTCCCCATTCTGACCGGACGTGGCTGCGTACTTGTACATCCCGCACAGCCAAACGGACGCCCCACTTTAACAAGGATTTTACTGCCGGTCGGAGGAAGACCAATGGTGACCATACTTCTATACCCCAGTCACCCTTGGGGTCTTCTGGTACAAGAAACATAGTATATGTCATCTCTCGACAAACCAGATCCACTATTTTTTTGTGTTATATTTGCGTTGTTTGTGAATTTTTTCATCTAGAAAGTGAGAGAAGCCAACGTAACATCAGATTACTGTCCCAATTGTTCCAACCATCTGAAACCTCCCACTCTCTCATCTAGTCCATCCTTTTATCAATTTTTTGTTCGTCTCAATTGAAGAATTTTAAAAGTTGCCCCGTGTGATAATGGTGGCAAGGAAATTTGCTTCAAGATTGTGAAAAATTGTATAACTATTAATTTAAAAAGCAGTCAATTCAAGGTTATTTAAAGACAGTTTTATCCATTTTATCGGACCTGCACATTCTTGTACACTTCATGTCAAGTTGAACCCCAGGCATCTGTTACGTTTTTCATGACAGCATTAAATGCTGAACTTACATAATTACATATCAATTAAAAATAACATAGCAAACATTGAAGGAACTACTCCTACTTCATAATAATTTGTACTGATGTACCTAAAGATAAAGCGATTATTTAACTACTGAATATTGGTATCAAATGCATGTGGACATTGTTTAGTTCTAACATTAAAAATGAGATTTACATTAAAATATTCTAAGGTTAAACGCGTGTTGTTAAATCAAAAAAAACTTAACAGTGTTCTGTGCCGCGACATATTTTTTCATTTTTCTTAAATTACAGATAATGAAAAATAAACTCCTAAAAATATATGAAACTTGTCTCAATTTTATACATAGAGTTAAGTAAAATACAATTTATAGCACTAGTGGAACCCTCAGGTTGCATAACACTTGCAGGGCCTGATTAATGATCCACACGAATATGTGCTTACATGTTACAAAGCCATTGCATTTCCAATAAAATGTATAAATGCCAACCATGTAACAGTAGAGTGGTCAATGTTTTGCTTGTGACATCAAAGTGTGACTGTGTTCTGTTAGAGTTGGAGAGAAAAGAACAGCATATAAACTGAGTTCAAGTTTATCTTGTGACATGCAATGGAAGTGTTATAGGTATGAGATAAGGAACATTAAAGTTCAAAGGATATTGATGCTAAAAAAATATAATAAATGAAAAATATTACAATGTTATAACTCACAAAAAGAAGCAATTAATGTTTCGTAGTTTTTAACTCAGTAACTGAAAAAAGAGATAAACGTCAGTTGAATGTATTTCATTATTATAAGAGGGTGGTTATGAGTGGTTATGAGTTATTTTGAGCAATGTTGTCGTCCCTTTCATTTCCAGTGTTCTCTAGGGTGTAATGAGTAAGTTTTTTTTTCATGCAATATTGCTGGCCCTTTCATTTCAAGTGTTTTATACCACGTTTACTCATGTTTGATGTGACGGCGTCAACAATATTTTAGTTTGTGATTAGGTCTAGTTTATGGTGAACCACTAGTGGCACGTCAAAGATATTTGGTATGTAGTTGTACCAGTATTGGCACATCTCATTACCATAGCTTTGAAACTTTTGCTTAGTTTTCTTGTATTAGTTTGTGATTAGGTCAGTTTATGATAATTGGTATTCAGTTGTATATGCATTGGTATATCTCTTTTCCTTGGGAGATTATTTGGCCTTTCCACCTCAGTCCTCGTTGATTGACTTCAAATTTTTGCTTAAGTTTGTGATTAGGTCAGTTAATGGGGAACCACTACTGGTAAGTTAATGACAATTGGTATGCAGTTGTATAAGCATTGGCAAATCTTATTTCCATGGAGATTATTTGCCCCCCCCCCCCTTTTTTCAGTCATGGTATATTGACTTTGAAACCTTTGCTTAGTTTTCATGTATAAGTTTGTGTTTAGGTTTGTTTAAAGGTAACTGTTGATGATAAGTCTGTGGTATTTGGTTTGCGTTGTTTTAACATTGGCACATTTCAACACATTGATTTCAACATTTGAATTATCGAAATTACTTAAAAGCGTAACATATATCTGTGATAAGAGTTTATTCTTTTGTCCCCTCTTTTATTTACCTTTGCACTATTTTTTTCGAAGCACGTGTCATCATGAATCAATGAAGCATTTTGATAAGTTAAATTTTTGAATGACCAGCGATTTTTGTTAGCCAATCAAAGTAACGGATTCTCGTGAAACAAACATGTAATGTAATTATTCCAAATTGTTGGCTTTTGTTTTTATGCGCCATTTATGGGCATTATTTTTTTCGGACTGTGCGTCCGTTTGTCCATCTGTCCCGCATCTTGATTCTGATGAAGTTGAAGCCCAATCATCTTGAAACTTAGTTCACTTGTTCCCTATGATATGATCTTTCTAATTTTAATGCCACATAACAGTTTTGACCTCGATTTTATGGTCCACTGAACATAGAAAATGATAGTGCAAGTGGGGCATCCGTGTATTATGGACACATTCTTGTTTTTTTCAAAAACTTATCTTATCAACCGTTGGAATAGACCCAAAAATGAACTATTATGTAAAAAATAACGAAAACCTCATGGTTCGCTTAAGAAGGACTCGGGATAACTTGTACAAGTTAAAATAAGCAAAACTGCACATGCACACCTATTTTTTGTACATTGTAGTTGTCATTATATCATTAACACATAACTTTTAACTTATCTATATTGGTGGATGTGTATTTATACTATCCTCGGTTTGAAATACGGATATAAACTTGGATTTGTCATTATTTTGCAGATGCAGGTGAAAGTAGAAGGCACAATTGGAACAGAATTTTGGACAGCAGTTAACAATTGTGAACATAAAATAATTGCTACGAGCTATGAGAGACAAAGAGACAATATATAAATATAAATGTATAAATAATTTACATAAAATTGTCACTTTTAGGATTTTCATATTTCAACACAGGGTTTTTAAATTGACCTGTTGCTAGATTACATGTTTGGTGTAGTAAACATATATAATAATGCATGGCAAAATAATCGAGAAAGGTAGTGAATAGAGGGCACTGAATTAGTCGAATTAGCCCAACCCATGGATAACCATCTTGCTGCCGGAAGGGTCATTCATGTTTTTCAAACAATATTTTCAATCTGTTCTTTCGGGAACCTGCAAGACTTGATAGGGAGGTGGACTACACAACTAGAAGCGAGTAACTTAAAATTGTTAAATTGTTTCTTTTAAAATTGTAACCCGATGATGACTGCTGTACCCATATTTTGACTATTTTATTTATTTTGTTTGTTTAGTTCACGCATCATTTTCAATATAACAGAATTTGACGAGACTGTCGTACAAAGTGAGAGGTTTAGCGCTATAAAACCAGGTTTAATCCACCATTTTCTACATTTGAAAATGCCTGCACCAAGTCAGGAATATGACAGTTGTTGTCCATTCGTTTTTGATGTGTTTTGTCATTTGATTTTGCCATGATTAAGGACTTTCCGATTTGATTTTCCTCTGGGTTCAGTATTTTTGTGATTTTACTTTTTGCATTGCAGCTGAAAGCATTACTCCTTTGCATCATACGTATAAAACAAGTGAAAGCCAATATAGACCAAGCTTACATTAATATATATCGATATATTTTTCCTGTTGCAACTACCCGGTGCACATGTTTGAGGCTATGAATGGGTGATATTCTGAGAGGGTATGAATGGGGTTACAGAAGCAAAAAAGGAAATAACAGAATAAAGATGAAATGAAGTATACAGAATTGGTTGATTGACTGTTGGTTGCTTAACGTCAAGTAAACATTCTGTGGCAAATATTACATGCATGTTTAGGACGAATATAATAAAGAAGAATAAAGAATCGAGTGAAATGGTTAAATATAAAAGAAAAATATATATAGAACTATAGAGACGATGATCTCATCCCCCTTCCCCCTCCCAAAAAATAAATAAATAAACAAACCACCATTACCACCCATACTCTCATATATATAAACCTCTAAATAATAGTTTAATTTTGGTTTCATGATGGCTCTCTCCCTGACATCAAGGGTCTGGATCGGCCCCTGCTAACGATTAGAAGGGATGCTGTTACTTGTACATTGTTTTCATATCATATTAAGATTGATGTTCAAAACACAAATTCCGAATTTTATGAAAAAGAACCACCATTATATGAGTAATTGAACATTATTTGGGACGTGCAGGATTTTCTGTTCGATTGACATAAGCCAACTTACATAACAACTGATTAAACAATATTTTTTTTTATTTGAAGTTTTTAACAAAGACTAGTGGTGGATATGTATAAACAAAAGTTTTGTCCTCATTTACAAATAGTAAAAGACAAATCATTTTGCCTTTGTTTTAATTCTCTTTCCTACTGGAAGTGGTCCAAGGTAATTAGCTGACAAATGTTCTCACGGTCGCGACGGTAATGCAGTCATTTGCATTGGTTTGGGTTACCGGTTTTAGACACTAACTGGCATCAATAGCAAATTGCAAACACCAGCAGGAATTTGATGATCATGTGTGTACAGACAGATTGATTGATTGATTGTTGGTTGCTTAACGTCCAGTGGCAAATATTTCATGCATATTCAGGACGAGAACAAATTAACAATAAATACAATAGGTAGGTTCTGTTAAAGGGGCGTCCGGGATTAAGGTCGGAGAAATTTAGACTGCCACGGGAAATGAGGGTATATTGGATAGGGACAGAAATTTTGCCTTGCAACAGGTCACCTACGGACCCCTCAAAGAGTTGTTGCAAGGGTTCTTAACGTGCAAAGAGCGTGGCACTCTCTTAACACGAGGCATCGGATTTAACGTCCCCATATTGACCGGACGTGGCTGCAAATTTGTACATCCCGCACAGCCAAATGGACGCCCCACTTTAGCAAGGGTTTTACCGCCGGTCGGAGGAAGACCAATGATGACCATATTTCTATTCCCCAGTCACCCTTGGGGGTGACAGTTCAATGATTGATTGATTGATTGTTGGTTGCTTAACGTCCAGTGGCAAATATTTCATGCATATTCAGGACGAGAACAAGTTCACAATAAATACAATAGGTAGGTCATGTAATAGAGGCCGTCCGGGATGAAGGTCGGGGAAATTTGGACTGCCACGGAAAAATGAGGGTATATTGGATAAGGACAGAAATTTAGCCTTGCAACAAGGTCACCTACGGACCCCTCAAAGAGTTGTTGCAAGGGTTCTTAACGTGCAAAGAGCGTGGCACTCTCTTTACACGAGGCATCGGATTTAACGTCCCCATTCTGACCGGACGTGACTGCGAACTTGTACATCCCGCACAGCCAAACGGACGCCCCACTTTAGCGAGGGTTTTACCGCCGGTCGGAGGAAGACCAATGGTGACCATACTTCTATTCCCCAGTCACCCTTGGGGCTACAGACAGTTCAATGAAGATCACAATTTCAATGAATCATTTATTACAGATGACAATTCCAATAATGTTGAAACAACACAGTCAAACCATAATTCAAAGAAAAATGCATTTGAGAATACTGCAGCCACTGTAATGCATAATGCCTTAACACTTCTTTATCAAATAGTACAAAGTTCATTGAAGCACCAGTGAGGGATTGATTGATTGAGTGATTGTTGGTTGCTTAACGTCCAGTGGCAAATATTTCATGCATGTTCAGGACGAGATCAAGGTAACAATAACTACAATAGGTAAGTCTTTCATAAGAGGCCACTCGGGACAAATAGTACAAAGTTCATTGAGGCACCAGTGAGGGAAGGTCAATAACATACCTGTACATCATGCAATTCGTTTTGCAAACACGTTTCACTTCTTAGTTAGGAAATCACAGTACTTCAAGAGTCTTTGGAAAAAAATTAAAACAAAGGAAATTAAAGGAAACTTTCAATGCTCTTCAATTGGAGAGAGATGTGCAATATTGGAGAAATGAGTATTCCAAAACGTCAATCTGAGCTGGGTACAGTTGGTTGCAGATCAAGCATAGCATAAAGTAAACGCACGTGGTGAAGATGAGATAGGATTTGATGACCAGTTAGCTAGTTACCTATTTGGGAATCCACATCGATTCTTATTTGAGCAACAAACTGCACAACTGAAAAGGTTACTTGAAAAATATAAATTACATTTCCATGATGAATGCAACACACACAGGACAACCAAATATTATTATCACTGATTTTTTAACGTGTTAACGAAAGTAAATTATATGATAATGGCAAGGTTTATTATTGAAACTGAAAAAACCAAATTATCGGAATTTTTGCACCATAGCACTTTCTAGACATGGAGCAATTATAATTTTCAGGTTGGTAACAGGAAAATGATCACAACATAGAATTTGAAAAATTAAAAAAAAAAACAACGCGAAATGATCGACTAAGTTTTTTGGTTTGGAAGTCTAAGAACCGAACAAGGCAAATACAATAAAAAGTCTGCTCTTAATGGAATCAGGGCCGCAGTATCAAATCATCTCAATAACTCACCGTACAACATATAATTCAAAATAATGACAGATTGAGCATTTATGAAAATGAAAAAAAATGATCGCATGTTTGCATATTTATAAGACATAGATTGTTTTTTTTTTTTATTCATAGATTGTGACTGATACTGAACTTGTTACATTACATATAAATGTATCAACAATTTTTTTTGTCCATTTTGATTCTCCAAATATGCCATGACAATGCTAAGATATCAATGTTAAAACTGGACAACAGTGTTATGTTAAGAAATTATATAAAGAAGGCGGACAATACTATAGTAATTAGCCGTCCAAATGTGGTGTCTATGACAAAAGTTGTCATTTTAAGTGAGGGCACAGGAGCAGAAAAGATTATTGATGCTCTAAAGGTGGAAGGCAGTACTGTAACAATAATGGGGAATATAAGAAAGGTACAAACCTAATATTTTATGTAGAATGAGGACTATACGAAGTTGTGGAATAATTGCCAATAAGACAACGGAATATATAAAAGCACATTTACATAGTTAATTTAAAACCACATTGAAACACACTGCCAAGTAAGCAGGATTAGCTCCAGAAGGTTGAAACAGGGTAGATCCAGGAGGTTGAAACGGGGTGGGTGAACCAAACTGAAACAGATTGGTTTTCATATGTCAAAGAGAATATTGCTACATTCATTACAGTTTCTAGGCTGCATTAGAATAATAATTTATATGTCATAAATGTTTTACCTGCAAAATTAACCCCTCACTTTAAAGTTTTTGTTACATCGATGCAAACATCTTACTAGATGCGTGAAAATTGGATGTATATGTTTTATGATACAGGTGTGCTCTCAAATCCCTGTCTACGGATTATTTGAGGTCTAGTTCAGATAGCCTGATAGTGACCAGGAACCAGTAACACTGTCAACTGCAACAGTTTTTAGAAACTCACCAGAAATAATTGTCTCACCAAAATGCTGGTCCATCATCTATGTATATGCATGGTATGTAATTAAAGGTAATTAAAATGTATAGATATATATACAAGGACGCAATAATATACCTCCATCAAAGAAAATCTGGATGTCCTAATGAGGATGCAAATGAACGATGTGTACATTCAGATTCATGATTTTTACAAGGAACTGAAAAGGAAAGGATCAAAATGAATTGGTTTTTCTGAATATTTATTTTTGTAACAAATGTAAAATTGGAATATGGGAATATGTAGAAATCATTCTTATCTGAGGTTTATGTAAATACAATACATGAAAAGGTTTTTAAGTATAAATGTTACGTTTGCCACCCTTTGGAATTACAAGGATCACGTTGCCTCTCATACTACTGCACTTAAGGAAAGGTGTACTATTTGCAATGCTACATTCCAGTACAATAAATCTTTATTAAACCATCAAAATATATTCCATACAAGCAAAGATGCAGAACATTGTTATTAAGGCTCACAAAAGAATGCAAGTACTGCGAAAACACCCCCTTTACATTATCTACCCAAGGCATAATCAAAATGTCATAAAAACTTTAAAATGCTATAAAATCCCTTTTTTTGCAATTTTGAGATGAAATAAGGAGTTTTTGAAAGGTCAAGATGCCAAACACTTATTTTAATTAAAAAAGTACCAAATAAATCAGATTTTTTGAACTTATTATTTTTGCAAAATTTAACAAAAATAGAACCAAAAAATTATCATACAATTACAAAATCACTTTTCAGTGGCACAACAACTCTCTATAATTTAGAAAATTAATGTTTGTAAAATCTGAATAGAAAAAGAATTTTTATTTCAGAAATAAAAGGCCGAAATTAAGAATTTTGTTTGAACTGAACCAAACCCTTTGAAGCCAGGGTTGGTAATTTCTTTAATTCGCAGCTAAAAATAGATCAAAAGGATCCACAGAATTGATTGACAGCCTCACTTAACCAATTAAAAATCTTAATCAAAAGTTACATAATGACAAAAAGTATAAAAACTAACAATTATAAGGTCTGTATTTAAAGTTTCTTTCTGTACTTTACACTGCAATACCAAACTATTTTTCTCAACATGTATCCAAAAGGTTACTGGCCATTCAACAAAGGCTTAGCTGGACGGCTTTAGAGACAGAGAGTTGCACCTGTTGGTAGATTCTAGAATGGCAGAATTCCATGGAATGTTCCTGTTGCTGTGCCTGTACTAGAGTTGTCAAATACACCAGACCAAGATATAAATAATGCTCCCAATGATCGATGGCATATAGACTCGCTCCCAGCTACTGGTATCATCCAATGACCTGAAAACAGAAGAAGAATGGAGTTCACTTTCTGGTATGAGGTTCATCGACCATGAAGAGATGATGAAGATGCTGAACATTGTTATTAAGGCTCACAAAAGAATACAAGTACTGCGAAAATCCAGAAATTCAGGCACACAGACAAGTAAAATGGAGAGTTTGCTGGAAATATACCCTTAAATGTAAGAACTGCACCTACATGAGCCCAGTAATACAAAGACGTTGTTACTAATAAACCTGGTACCAACCTTGGAGCACCCAATGTTGCAGTGGCTGCAGTCCTTCATGACTGTCCAATTGGTAGTTCCAGGAGCTGTTTGCTAGAATGAACTGTCCTCCTTCCAGGACAAACATGCAGAGAATGTCACATAATGTTGGAAAGGAGCTAGTAAAACTTAACAGGACAGACATGTCAGAAAAACTAGAGATTGTCAAGTCAGTACATCGAAAGAGGGGACTACCAGAAAATGTTATCAATGTTACAATCGACGAAAGGTACAACAGCCAGACCATTTCCAGCACCAAGAAACTTGGACTGAATGCCACCCAAGCTTTTACACTTGCCATTGAGACAATGACTGAGAAAAAATATATTGTTGCATCATATGCACGGAACCAAATGTGCTGGAAGGGAGCCTGGCTGAGGGGGAAAGGTTTTGATGTAAATTGTCCCAATGGCCATGAAGACTGCACTGCAAACTTGTACAGAGCAGCTCCTTGAGATGGGAAAACAACGTTTATTGACCGCTATGGGGTGTCTGTTCCAAAATAACAACATTACTGACTACTGTTATGGTATAAACCTTTCCGAGGAACAGGACCTGCATACTCTTCCGGAGCAACTGAGTTCGGGTCGGCGATTTCAACATTAAATGTTAGTGTTTGCTTTTGTGTGTCTGATCAGTTCCCGAGTTGTCTTTTGTCAAGTTATTACCCTTCTATTTACCTGTCTTACTGACAGTCACACAGGCTTCATTTACCATGTTAAACATTCAGACATTTGATTTAACAAACTTTCCTGAACTGGAAAATATTCCATGCATGTTCAGAATGAGAACAAGTTAACAATAAATATAATAAGTAGGTTTTGTGATTATGAGGCCACCAGGGATGAAGGTCGCGGAAATTTTGATTGCCACAGGAAATTGAGGGTAAATGGGATAGGGACAGACATTTTGCCTTGCAACAGGCCACCTACGGACCCCTCAAAGAGATGTTACAAAGGCGTGGCATTCTCTTTTCTCGAGGCATCGGATGTAACGTCCCCATTCTGACCGGACGTGGATGCAAACTTGATACATCCTGTACAACCAAACGGACGCACCACTTTGACATGCGTTTTATGACGGTCGGGAGAAGACCAAGTGACCATATTTATTTTCTCCAGTCACTTTTTTTGGGACCATATCACAACAAAATTTGCAGCAAAGATAGTTAGATAATACAAAAATAATATACTTGAAAATCGTAACCATGTACTTTAATCTCTTCATAGTGGGGGCATAGTCATGATAATAATATATTAATTTTGTAAACTTTATAGTCTTAGATGCATAATTATTTTTTTGTTGTTGTTAGAGGCTTTGAACTAGCTGTCAGTTGAGGTTACTTTTTTCTAAATTCAT